TTTATGAATATGCATTAGACTAACGAAGATATAAAGAGAAGCAACGTATATTAGAAAAGTAATTAAGTTGTAACTTACTGTTATAAAACAAGTTTCATCAACTACAACATCGGCAACAGAACCGCAAACCCGTCCGACTCGGCAAGATCTAAATTCGTGAATGCACGATCTCCTCATAACGAGAAATATAGAGCTTGTATTTACATATTGGGGGTTATCGGTGCAACACTTCTAAGTAAACGAAGATGGTTTCTATAGTGTGCCAACCAGTATCGGTATGGTGAAACGTAAATAGCAGGTTGGAGGCATCCGGCTCATTGAATGCGCTGACCCCATCTGATCGGTGCTCGGGGCGAGCTGAACGTGCCCGCACATTCAGTGCCATTGCCATCCTATATGGAAACTGAGAAATTGAGAATACGTCTGCTAGATATGGCCATTTACGTTCGACAAGTTTTTCGACCGGCAGGAATGTTTAAAGAATGAAACGTTGGGAATCAATCGCTTACACAGACAACACCGTGTAACATATAAACAATCCATTTTCAACAACTTTAACCGACAGCGTGTAATTTTAAAAATGCATATAAAATATTTGTGCGTCGTCGGTGAGTATATCGATTGAGTCGTGTCTATTCGTTTCCACTGGCACTACTTTATGGCACGTTTGCTATCGCGGTCGTTTCATGGTACGAGGTGGCGACCGACTTATCGTGGCCAATGCTTCTGGCGTTTGACCTTTAGGTCAACATATTATTCTGATGAGCTTACATGGCTGCCTAAATCGTCAGTTATCGTCTTAATGTTCGTAAATGAGATTAAGGATCAAAGTTCTTTGCGCACTGACCTACTAGTCAAGCTACAGTTTATAACATCGTAAGAGTTAATAGCAGAACGTTGTTATGTTAAGCACATCGAAAAGGGTAATACTAAATATCACGAGTCTTGATAGCAACGTCGCAAATGCGCTGCGAGGAAATATTGAAACGTTAACAAGAGTGATTCACTACAAAGGATACTATCGAATGTCACATAAAGAGACTGCCTTTACTGCTACGTCGTGTGTAGGTCAGACGGCCCGGGGTAAAGTGCATAGCTAGCAAGCCGCACTATCGGTACTCCTGTTATTTCATGCTATTGACGCCGACGACTTGCCTTATTTATTAATACTTTCTTGCTGGAACTTTACACTCCAGACCATGACAAATAATGCTTGTAGCTCTAAGATTTTGACTTCGTGAAAACACGGGACTCACGCTTCGGTGTAATATTTATTCAAGAAAACTGCTAGACGCCAAGCACGAGACCATTTGTAACTGAATTATAACTTCAAAATGTTCAAACAATTGCAACCGCCTATAAATCTGTGCACGTTTCGTGAAACAATGTTTGTTGTTTTGTTAAGGGTTGTATGTATATAGCAGTGGCGAGGCGTCCATGTCACTCGATTCCCACCGGCTTGCCTAAAATTTTCTACGTACTATCAAAAGTCTGTAATAGAGAGCGCGCATCCCACACCACTTAAAAAACTTATATATTCAAAATATTCAATAAGAAACGTGTAGCCACCTGTCCTTGATAATACCTATTAAGTACTCTGTGATAATACGGAGTATGACGGCTCTCGGCCAATCACAAGGCGCAAACAACAAAGCAAGCTGGTCGGATCCCTGCTTCTATTTCATTCATGAAACCTACGCGCTCATATCAAAATACACACACACACACACACACATTCCCAATAATCCGCTGTAAAATCATAGTAGATTAAGAAGTAATAATTAAGTACTATATTAAGTAGTACAAAGTAGATTAAGAACTATCTCCGTGGCCGAACGGTTACCATACTACTACCATGCAGAGGTTCTTGGTTCGATTCCCGGGCAGGGAGAAATATTTGTATGGCCTACATTTATTTCTCTCGTGCTTTTGGGTGTAATTTGTGGTCTATGCCTGTGTCCATGGCACCCGCGATACAGGGTTTCCCTAGTGCGGGGCTATGCTGAGTGTGTGCGTTATTTATTTATTTAATGGTGGCCAAAAACTCGAAAACCATCGGGTTATGTCAAATAGCGTTCTAGTAAATTTAAACATTATTTCAACACAGATAGGGATTGTTTTTAAAAACTGATTTGTTTCAATACAATGTTCGAATCATTGCAAGGTGTTAAACTTTCTTAAAATAATGTAACAAAATTATTGTAATAACATATTCAAACGAACGGTTAATTAGTATTTTGTAAATGTTAAACGATAAAATAGTGTTACGAAAACGTAATGTTTGAATGTTTTATTTTAATCTTTCATCACAGTCGCGATACAAAGTTTGTTTTTAAAGTAATTTGTTACATTTACTACTAGGTATTCAATTTAAGTACAGAATAACTTAATCAGTGACATAAAGTATCTCGTGTGCTAATAAGTGTTATGTTTAAGTGTCGCAAGGCGCTTTTTTAACGGCAATGAAATTTTTTGTTAAGGTAAGTGTTTATTTTGTTTTGGGCCAGCTTTATTAACGACTATTCATGCCTCGCCACTGATTTATAGTCTCAGCACTGACACAGGATGCGTTGAACACGGTTACCTGTAATTACATTTCCCAGAAATAACGTTTGCTTGAATTTGCACAACCTCGAAAGTAATTTTGAGAGGAAAATGTTTTTTTTTCTTTTAAACCTAACGTAATCTAACCTAACCGAACCTAATCGTGTCTTTGAGATAAACATCCAACATATCCTAAAAGTACAACGGTTCCGTTATAATTCAATTTTCGGTGTAATGAAAATTTGAATAAACGTTATTTCGGAAAAAAGAAAATCGACTTTGTGATAGGTTACCGTTGAACACCGAGTGAGACTTGGAGATGAACAATTTGTTGTATTTGTAAACACTTATTCGAGTGCAAAATGATTTAATTTAAATAAAGGACCGACTAGCATGTAAGTAAATCAGGCCTTGAGCGATACGAATGCTATGAAATGAACTAGGTTTCCCTAGGCGGTATCATTCAGATAAGCGCAATTGCTGCCAAAACCAGACAGCACTGTAAATAACAGAAATAATTACTGCATCTCGTACGAAATCAATCAACTGTGAACATAGAAATGGACAGACTATTATAACTGAATAAAATATTTGTGTAACTGCCTGGTGGATATTCAATATAAGATAATCACTTTCTTTGCATGACGGGTAATAAATATTAAGTGATATTATGATATTCCGAAAGAAAATCTATAGTCTGTCTTTTTTGAAGACGGAACGCGGAGTAAAAATGACATTTGAATGGTTGCTAGTTTTCATAATATTTTATGTAGTTACGTAGTTGTTGTCGAAAGTTTTATCTATAGATTGTGAAAGAAGATAAAATTTTGCCAAAAATTATAAATTGTGAAATGAGAAAATATTCTAACGATTACTAATTGCGTTATTGCCTTCTTTTATTCTTATTTTGACAGTTTGCCTACTTGTGTTTAGATGAATTTTTATTCATATACATTTTAAGAAGAATAGCTGGATTTGATTATCTATATTGAATTAAAATTTAAAATATGTGTCCTCTTTGTATTTGTCATAACATAGTTCTAAATACAGTATATGTATGTATATATGAACTTATAAAAATGAACAACTCAAATTAATTTTAGCTCACTAATTGGATGAATAATAGGTTGAGGATGATTCAAATGAAACAAGTTCGTCTATTTATTCCATAAGCGTAGCCAGTATTCAGTTGATATTATTATATCGATCGCAATCACTAGCTACTCGGAAGCGGGCAACACTTTTGTACAATGAACTGTCATTTTACTCCGTCTTCAAAAAAGACAGACTACATTTCTTTAAATTCTAAGGTTAAGTGATTACAGGAGGAAGTAATTTTTATTCGTCATTAATGATACGGACAAAAATGCAAATGACAAGTTATCAATAAAATCATAGAATCAATTTACTTTCAAGCTGTACCTAAATAGCACATGAAAAATTAATAGACCGACGTCTACAATATGCAATTTTTTACTTGGGCATGCCTGACATTTTTACAATAAAATTGGAATAGGTAGTACCGTTTGAACACGAAGTCTCCGATGAAACTCGGACCGTTATAGACATTGTGCGTTGAACGTGAGCGTAACGTAATGAAACCGGCCACCAGCTAGCATATTGTGTCAAATTTTGATAAAAAATTTGAAGATTAAATTCACCTCATTTCGGAAGGTTTTCCTGGGCAGGTCGTTCACTTTTGTAGATTGAAAAATTCACAAAAAGTAATTATATCATCTTCTTGCATGATACACTTCGTAACGTTTATTTTGTCAAAACGTGACCAGCGACTAGTCTCACGTCTTTGTATTCACCGAAGCATGAATTTCAAAAATAACCTCCGTTTTATATATAATTATGTAATGGCGCGATTAATTTGCGGTTTTGTTAATAAAATTACGTGCCATATATTACGATGCCGATGCACGTTAATTAGAAGCAATTATTATGTTCAAGCTCTCAGATAGCAATCAAAATAGTTCCACCTTTAACATTCTCACTGCTGAAACGTGATCCTCATTCACATGACTCATGCAGCTACCGTGCACACTCTTGAGAAAACATTAGTGTATTTATAGAAAAAAAGCGTATTAATATCAAAATATTATTATTTTAGTCAGATAAAAACAACAAAACAGTAATAGTTACGTGTTTTCATTTATTCTCGTAATATGGGGGAAAACGAATACTAAAAGCCCAGCTCGACAAATATAGGCGACCACAGTATGCATTTTATCGCAAGTCGCGACAAACGATTTATTCTCCATACCAATGCATAACGCGGCCGTAAACCACCAAACGACCTATCTTTAACATCGAAAGCATTACGGAAAAGGAATATGAGCTTGCGTGTATCAAGCTGCATACTTTATATGCGTGATAATGACTTTTAAAAAATTCTCATGCAATTAAGTTGCCATTACAAGTCTTTCAATCAGTATTTTCTTTTGTTACAGATAACGAATGTTGCCACGGCCCGAGAATACAATGCGGCTTTTAATAAGTTTAGTGTTAGTGGTGTGTGCTGCTGAAGCCGCGAAAAAGTTTGAGGGGTCGCTAAGATCGGCGGCGGAAGCGCCACCACAAGATAATATCGCCGTAGAATCAGCGTCTCCGGAACCTTCGGTGGTTGTGGCACCCCAGGATTATAAAAACCCTGGACCGCCTCCTCCTCTAAAGGCATCAACTGAAGCGCCAGAAGCACCAGCTCTAGTACCAGAAACAGCGTCTGGAGGAGTACCACCTTCCGCGCCCAGTGGTGTCTCAGCACCTTCTGCCCCAGCCAACTCTCTTGAAGAATGTGACCCAGAAATGATTGGATTTGAACTTGTTACTGGGTAAGCTTGTTTACTTGATAGACAATTTTCAATCACACATGCAATGCAAACTGGCCTCTTGAAGGTAAACTAGCCTATTATAAAGTATGCTCAGAGTACTGACCGATAATTGCTGGAATAATTAAGTTTATCAAGTCGATGCAACAGGTCGGACAGTCAAGTTATCAAGATCCGACTTCATTCAAGCGATGCTTTTGAAAGCTATTTTAAACAAATAAGAAAACTAAAAAAGACAACGTAACTTTATTGAGAATTGACGACATACTGTCAAGAATGACTAAAAGCTAACATAATAATCTATAACATTCAAGAGGTTATATACTTGTAATGCCGATAATTGCGTTTATTTTGATCGAGAGATGTGTCAAGATAATCGTGATGTGTGTTTACAGGTATGTGTTCTCGGCGCCGTCGCACATTCTAGACGACATCCCCGGCACTCTGATGTTGACCGACTGCCTGGAGCAATGTCAGGCCAACGACACCTGCCGTGCCGTCAACTACGAGACCGGACTGTGCGTACTCTTCAGCTCTGACGCAGACCAGTTGCCTGGTGAGTATCGCTTGTACGAAAATTATTTTGTTACTATTAAACTTTATATTCAACATTTAAGAACTGTATCACAAATTTTGTAAAAACAAAGACCTAATGGACACCGGATATTTATCATCCAGTTGGACAGTTAAAGCGATTCTGATTGCATATCTTTATAAAACGCGGTGTTTCCTAGCAACTTCAAGATAGCTCTATTAATATTGCAAAATAAAACAAAAGTGTCAGATAATACAGACTAATATTAGCCCGGATGGCTCATATTTCAAACTGCTAACGCATTCGAGAATAAATTAAATGATGGCAGATGTAGACCTCATCTGAACTGTTGAGTCATATCGTGTGACATTATTCATTCAAGCTGCAGCGCGTGCGATACGCGCGCGGATAAATATGTTAATCATGTCTCATACACATTCAAGCAACCTACAGGTCGATAATGAGAACTCGAGCTGGATTACTTATTCAGTTCAGCGTTTAATAGGTGTCAATTGTCGTCATTGTTCCAACCACATTAGCTATTTGTCGATTCATCTCATAAATCTTAAAATCTTTAAAATTGTAACTGTTCGTTAGAGAGAGTGTAATTTATTAAAAATATATTTATGTCAAGTGAAAGTAATGAGTCTTATTTTAAAAATAGCAAGCAATCAAATGAGAAATATTACAATAAACAAAAAGAAAAAGTCGGATCATCAATTATAATCAAAAAGTATTCTGATCAGCAACAATGAAATACCAAAATAATACATTATGAATGAATAGAGAGTAAGTCAATAATACGCTCTGAATGTATATTGGAGTTTAATAAAGTAATTTTTTTCATGCGTGCGTCAGAATGGTATGAAAAAGATTGTTAAACACGAGTAAAAAGCGCCCATAACGGAACAATGAGGCGTGATGGTGGTGTATAACCGGGACACCTAGCAGGTGGCATAGTTGGCGCCTGTATCAATATAGCGTACCATATTGAGCTAATACTTTACTTAGAGTGAATATAGTGTTTTGTAATTTACTTCTCTCTTCAAGAATAGTATACAACAAGCAACTTTAATAGCAGTTTATGTCCTTGTTCCAAAAGTATTCGATACTTTAAGAAAAAGAAAATACCGTGACTTTCTTTAGATAGGAAAATAAAAAAATTCACAGATATTTTTAAACTTATAAATATAAGAAAACCGTGAGAACAATGCGTGCTCCAGCGAATAATGGGAATGGTTTTCTTATACATGTTCAACATGAAGATGCGATTTTTCAGACAAGTGAAGCGTTCCGATTTTTTTCCCCTCAACTCATCATTTGAATGCCAATAACGGCATTGTCTGCGTTCACTCATCAGACCATATTGGGAAAAAAATACTCTCGCCACGAAAATGAAAACTTGACCGCGTGTATACTTAATGTAAGTGGGTTACGCCATGACCTGCTCTCTACAGGGTCAAATTAAATTAGTTGGCTTCCTTATAGACGGGCAATAACGTTGGAAACCTATTGATTTCGTACATGAGTGATTCGATATGCAAATAGTTAAGTCATTAATCAAATAGAAAGTTAATTTCACATTATACAGCCGAAAACAATGACTCTCAATTATTATTTTGTAGATAAATATAATACAATATTAGCGGCAGAGGTACGAGAAAGTATTACAATACTGACTGCGTGGTTAATATGAAAATCGTAATAAAAATGTGAACAATATCATATAAAAACTTTATATCGCTAACCTTTGACATAATATTGTAGGTTACGTAAGTGATGACTGTATGGTAAGAATGTGAAGATAATGATTTCCTTACTCATGACTACATTATAGTTTACTGCGGTTAGCTTATGTTTTGTTTGTGTTCACAACACGTGTGTTAGCTTTTCTAGAAAACAATTATGACTGTACGTGTACGCCCGAGACCGATAATATTAGCAGTCATATTGAATCAAAGCGTATCCAAGATAGCGAGAGAAAGAGCTTTCAGTTCGGGGAACTAAGCGAGTGTATCTAATTATTATTGGACGCATTCTTGAGACGGCCGCGGGTTTCCTTAAATTCGTTCAAGATGAACGCCTTTTGATCCATACCACGTGCAATGCATGCATGATTAAAGATTTAATAAGGGCGTATTATAAAATCATAATGACATATTACTTAGAGGAAAGTTTCCTCAAACATTATTACGAAAATTTTTATGATCTATAACGTCGGTAAGTATTTTTACACAAAAGCACAAATTTTTTCTATATAGTTAAAATTGCAACAATAGTAGAGAAAATATAATAAAACTATGATTGGGCGACTTTATGGCTGGCGGTATAGTCAATATTAATAATATTTATTTTATTGCAGGTGCCTTGACGAAGTCGCAATTCCCTGTGTTTACAATCTACGCGCAGAAGTCATGTCTTGGAGTGAGGCCTTGCGAGCGAGCGTGGTGCTTCGACCGAGTCCGTGGATATCATTTGAAAGGACGAGGCAAGAAGACCCATATCGTTGGATCTAGGCAGATGTGTCTCGATCTCTGCCTTGGAGAAAACGAATTCGTTTGCAGGTCAGTTGCGCTTAAAATTATATTTTTTGTTATAGGCAGGTTTACGGTAGTACTGAATAATGATGTGGAATGTGATAAACATTTGTAAGATTTTGTAGAAAATCAACAATGAACGATGAAGAACACAGCTTTTTTTATATTGACTTGCAGAGATCTAAATTTATGTGACTTGCGTGGAAAAGTGGTGAGAATTTATTGAAGTCGCGTCCATTCTTTGAGGTTGTACTATCCCTAGCGTTGCACAAAAGGGTCACATCATGTTTATTCAAACACCCACTACACTGGGAAATGGCAACAGGAAAATAAAAAAACACTATAGACAGCTCGCCTATAGGGACGGTCCAGGGAAGATTTATATTCCACTGGAAGTCGTTTTCGATTCAATTCAAAACGCAAGGAACCGGTGAATCTACTATTGGCTTCTAAACAGCATCACGTTTTCTGCTTTAGTGTCGGTTCCTTACGAGTGTTAACCATGCAAATTTTCCTAGTAATAAATAAATATAAGCCTACATTAGTAAAAGCTATAAAGGTTTCTAAATGTAATGACTTTTTGAATACGCACAGCGGGCACATTTGCTTATACACTATTGAAACTTTTAGTAAAAATTTAAGCGTCGTAGGACTTTATACATTTGAATTTATTGATCGTAAAGCTCCGACTGTTTAATTGGTTCTAACAATAAAAACCAAATTTAATTACCAGTTTACATTCAAACGAAGCAAAAACTTCGATTCACGAGATGCTATAATTAGTTTCTAAAGGAATTTAACGTCACTACCTAAGCTATTATGGATAAAAATTATGTGTAAATCAAAGGTAAATGCCCGAAAGAAAAAAATAGACGCGGATAACATAAAACGATATTAATTTAAAAGCCACTGGTATTTTTTTCAATTTAAAACACACTCAGCAATTAAATTCGTTAATAGCCATTGATATTTGCAATAAAAATAGTCAGTGTCCATGTCCTGCTAATTTCAGTATTGTTTGAACAAATGTACAAAACAGAAACTTTTCTTTTTGTTACAACATTGTCAATGGGGATATTGAATGATTTCCAAATACCGGACGGATTGTAGTACAATTTATGCAGAAAATCATCTATCTCATTAAGCTGGCATACTCGTAGAAACTAATTTAAAGATAGCTCGATAACGAAGTCAATCAAGTTTCACCAAGTTTCCTTACAAGGACAGCCTCGCGGCACATCTCTGCCGTACCTCTTGGATAAGTCACAGCCCCTTCCTGGTAGCCGTTCTGTTTCACAATTCTACAAACGAGCATTATATACAAAGCAGGTAGGCCAATTCCACGGGTCCGACTCAGGCGTCTAATGCGGCGAGACACGACTGTCCTATTGTGTTTATTTCCTTGTACGGTTTTTGATATCATTAACATAAATAGTGTGCTGAGCCTCACATTCGGTACGCGTAATTCCGTTCACGCTGATCTAGAATTCTACACTGTGCGGCCGCGAAACGAACGCTGATTTGTAATGCACTTACTTTGGGTGAGATTTCGAGATCGGTTTTCTTAAGAGCTCTCTCTGCTCATCAATAAACATGATCGTGTTCTGCTTTTATACGGTCATTTGTAAAACTAGACAGCAATCATAAAATTTAGCAAAAGTTCAGCCATAAGTTCACTACCAATTCATGTTCATTTCAGTACAACACAAATCAAATCGTGAGTTGCTTATACGGAATTAGAAATATGGCATTCGGTACTTTTACGGTTGAGAGCATTACGTATGGTGAATGCGTTCACATCTTATAATGAGACGACCGTTTTGCTGTAGTATTGTTTCAAGCTTGACATTTTAAGATAACGGGAAAGGTCTCTACATCGGATACGGAGCCATATAAGACTAGGAGTCGATATAACAAATTCCACGACTTGGCCCCGTCAAGAGGAATTTTTGCTTGGTGAGCGCGATTACGGAATGAAATGCGCGATTTTACGTGGCCGTTCGACACGTGTACCGTTGAGTACAAATCGTCGTATCTCCATTGAAGCGAGCTGGTGCGCGGGCGCACCCCAGGCGGCGCACATCGCGATCGTCGACGGTCACGACACTTGGCAAATATTCCCGGACGAGGCAGCGCGCGCGCCAGTACCAAGCGGTGTGGGAGCGGTTTGCCCTATCGCTTCCTATTTCCACGATACAATAACTGATAAACCACATACTATTCCCTTCTAACAATGTTAAAAGTACCACCCACCTCAGTCGCAAACTTAAATAAAATTCTTCAAAATACCACAACACAAAAATTTTAACGATACTTACAAAAAAAACTGTAATATTCCAAACAATCTGTTCTGGTCCGTATTAAGGTGCGCCTTCAGGCATATCGGGATATCTAAGGGTTTAAATTATAAGTAATAGAAATGATGGTCTATAAATGGCCTATTCTTTGCCCACTAAGATAGGACCACCAGGCCGGTTGCTTTATAATGGATACATTAATGTCTAATAGTGCCTAATACGTACGACTATGATATGATTCTGAAGTACTAGCACCGATAGTTATTGAAAAATGCAAATTGATTTTAAAATTTAATTACATTGCATACAATTCTCAGAAATAGTTCAGACAGTCAAGAACCATGATTAGACGTGTAGCATGTAGATGTTCGGTAGGAATATAGTGGAGAAATTTAGTTTTTCTGTCTAAATAGTGTAGAACACATTACAGCTAAACAAATTGCGGGTAGTTGGTGTAATTATTATGCTATGAAGAAGGCTCTCGAGCGGCCTGCCTACATTCACCATCCAACATTAATGGGCACAACGGCCACCGGTAGCAGCGGGACACTCGTAATCACAAGTTAAAAGCTACTTCGAATTAACGTTTCTCGGAATAGTTCAAGCCTATTCACAAGATGAAGATTACGCTACATAATAACAACTACAAAGTTTTAATGTGAAATGGCAGCTTTTTACAATGTGAAAATTGCACTTATTATTTTAATTTTAGCAAAAAGTCGTTGATTCAGTACAAGTTTGCCAAAGTTATAAGAATGAATATTAAGTTGCAATAACGTCGGATAAGAGAATTTAAAATGGAACGTAAAGAACCTATACTTTATGAAAATGCGTTCCCGCAGGTTAGCGGAGAGGTCATCTGATCGGGATCGATTATAGATCAAGAGAAAATATTGAGCGAGATGAACGAAGATAATACTATTCTCCTTATGCGGGTGGTCACTAAGTAATATGAAAATAACATTGCAGGGAACACTCGGGTTAAAGGTTAAGTAGTTAATATGAACGTGTACATGTACGATAAAACCAGCTAAAAGCAAAAGTATGAAAGTTTCCCATCAAATGAAATGGAAAACGTAAACTATGATGTACACAAGTATCTCAAAATGTTGTATGTATTTGAATTCAAAGTACTTACCTTCATGTTACTTTCATGGATTTGATGCGAAATTAAGTCAGCAAGTGGCTAAATAACATTGTTCTCGCAGATTGCTCGCATGTTATGCTAACAAAGGCAGGACTTGAATGTAAAACTATTGAGAAATGAACCGTAGATAGTGTAGATGCGGAAAGTAAAAACGATAACACAATAGCAAATATGGTTGCTAAAATATCAATGTAGTTGTGTAACCTCACACGTCCTCGAAAAAGTTGCTTTTTAGCAACAAATCAATAAACAAGAGTTTGTCGATACGCAAATTGAAGACAAAAACAAATATTCACATTGTAATATAAATAATATAATAAAACCAATCTTCAAATTTCACGCGCTGTAAAAAGTCAAATAAAGTGTGGCCACTGTTAACCACAAGAATTTGTTGCAGATCGGCGAACTACAATAATAAAACCGGAGAGTGCGTATTGTCTAATATGGACCGTATCACGCTAGCTGGAACTAACTTCTTCCAACCAAACGAAGGTAAAAAATACAAAGTGAGCAGTAAAACATGTTCTTACAATAATTATTTTACGTAGTTAACATGGTTACTTTTTCCTATAGACACTGACTACTTGGAGAACAACTGCGTAGAAGAGCCAACGAAATTATGCGAATTCAAAAAAATGGGCGGACGTATTTTAAAAACCGTAGACTCGGTGTATCAAGACGTACAAACGGTTGAAGAGTGCAGAGAGCTCTGTCTAAACTCTCCTTTCCGTTGCCACTCATACGATCACGGTGACACCGGTGACCATGTGTGTCGCCTTTCTCATCACTCCCGTGCAACCCTTGCTGACATCCAGGTAATAACAGTACTAAGTGGTGTACATTGAAACGTGAAGCCTATTGTTTTATGTGTACCCAGTAACGATGTTATTTTTTTTAGGATCCTTACTTGGAAGTACCCGAAGCGGCTACTTTCGAATTGTCGTCTTGTTACAATGTGTCTATCGACTGTCGCGCCGGCGACATGGTAGCACGAATTCAGACCTCCAAGCTATTCGACGGCAAAATCTACGCTAAAGGAAGTCCTAACTCTTGCGTGGTGGATGTGAAACAGAGTTTGGAATTCGAGTTGCACATGGGTTACAACAATATCGAATGCAATGTTAAACAAAACGGACTTGGCAGGTGACACAATTCAAAAAAATACACCTCTGTAATCACTAGTTACTAAAACACAAAATAACTGTAAAATTTCCGTTACAGATACTTAAACGATGTCGTTATCCAGCACCACGACACTATCGTCACTTCCTCTGATCTCGGTCTAGCGGTTACATGCCAGTATGATTTGACAAACAAGACCGTAGCAAATGAGGTCGACCTGGGAATTCATGGTGATATCCACACTAGCCTCTCGGAGGAGGTAGTCATCGACTCCCCCAATGTAGCTATGAAAATTACAGATAGAAGCGGAGACGACACTATCGCTTCTGCTGAAGTTGGCGATCCTTTGGTAAGCCAATCGTTCTTTGAATTTTGTGATTTAGGGAGTATTTCATTTCTTATTAACGTGTTTTTTTTATTTCATAGGCCCTCAAATTTGAAATCATGGATCCCAACTCTCCATTTGAAATCTTTGTCCGAGAACTGGTTGCTATGGACGGCGTCGATTCCAGTGAAATTACTCTTATTGATAGCGACGGTTGTCCCACAGACCACTTCATTATGGGTCCTCTGTTTAAATCAGCGCCGAGCGGAAAGGTAACTAATCAAAATTAACGGAGTTAGCGACATGAACTCATTTATAATTGTGAAGTCCTAGAAAATTACGGTTCAAATTTTATTGTAAATTTATGACATTATTCTTGTCCAATGGACAATTAAATTAGTTCCAGCGCTAAATCAAACTGTTTGGTAAATTTTACTTGTAAAGTAAGGCTGTGGAATTTCTATTGAACTAGATAGGGCCGGTTTACGCAGGACATTACTATTAGGTGGCAAGATATATTTTACCAAGTTATTCATATTTTCCAGATGCTGTTGTCGCATTTCGATGCGTTCAAATTCCCTTCGTCCGAAGTGGTACAGTTCCGAGCTTTGGTGACACCCTGTATGCCTACATGTGAGCCTGTTCAGTGCGACGGTGGCCCGAACGAGCTACGCTCCGTTATGTCCTATGGCAGAAGAAAGAGACGTTCATCCCCAGCTGCACCTACTGAAGACATGCTGCTGGTGCAAACGATTCAGATTACTGACAAATTTGGCTTCGACAAGCAACGTGCGAAGAATGTAACTGAAGATTCAGTGTTCGTCAGAGAGACCGACGTCACCTGTGTGAATGCAGCGGGTGCCATGCTCGCAGCTGCTGCTTTCCTGGCAGCACAACTAGTCGTGCTTGCAGCGTGGACCTGCAGTTGGCAACGACGACGCGCGGCTGCAAAGGCAGCTGAGCTTCTTCCTGGGCCTAACGCTCCGTCCGCTCTCTGCAAAGTCTATGATGCCAGTTTCTCCCGTGCTCACCAGAGGCATTTCTGAGTGATTGTGGGGTGTCGACGTGATCAGTGTACGCAATAGTAGTTTATTTCAGTAGATTAAAAACCCCCATCGAGTCCCGTCTCTACAAAACGTCGTCGTCAGAAGCGACGTTCATAAAGTTAAGAGCATGGATGCCGATAGCGGTTTTGTATGTGTAGTGTCCAAGCGCACCCGCGTCATGCGCTACGTACGGGCGAAACGCAGGTGCGCGCGACACGGAGAAGGGGACGACCACAAGAGCGTGCGCGACTGTGGATGGATGCGAGGGCCGGTGCGCTGAGTTTCCGCCTGTGTGTGTATGTAATGTGTGACAACGCTCGCTTGTCCCCATCTCCGGCGTCGTCCGCGGGGTCGTGGCCGTGAGTCGTTATCGAGATCACGTCGCTCATTCGTTCACTTTACGCTCGGACGTCCACTTCAGCGGAAGTCCGTAATCGTATTGTACCATATTTTTTTAAAGTAGAGTAAGCCTGATTTTAATGATAGTGCTAAGTAAAAAGTAACAATTTAGTACCTTTTAAGTAGATACCCGAACGTGCGACCTAAGTCAAGAGACGATGGATTGACGGCCGTCCCGACATCGTAATTTATTTAATTTAGAGTAGTTTCTTTTTTACATAATTTATGTTTGAGAATCGAATTATACCTATTTAATAAATTCCTAATATAAATAAATACCTAAACGAATAGTAAGCTTTTGATCTTTGCAGTTTAATTGCATCTTCAACAATGTGTACTGAACGTATTATTTTCATTTATACTCGTGGCTTAGAAATCGATGTTTACTAAAAAACATCGATTTCTAAGCCATTTGAAAAGCCGTGAACTTTATACCTAACTCAATTGAACCAGTATGTCATTACCTAAAATAAACTTTCAAAAATACAGTTTGTTTTATTTTGCATTTTCAAAGTTCCAAATATGTAACAAAGCTCAAAAGATTTTAGTGAATAATTTTAGACAGAGAAAAAGAGCTATTACTCAGCTTTAAGACGACCACGAACCCTACTACGATAAGAAGCTATAAATACATAAGTGCACGCTGACTAGTTTTCCCCACACACAGCCACGAAGCTACTTATGTTAATTAGATAAAGGTGGAATTAGTACCGCATCGATATTCTAAGCAGCTATGACATGTAACCGATTAAGTAGGTACGCAGAAACTAGAAACTGAATAACTATGTAAAGGGAACACACAAACAGTGCCGGACATTATTATCTTTACGTATATCAAAATACACGCAAGTGGAGAAATGTAATAATAATTTCAATCAAAATTGGCGACAAAATAAAGAAAACGTTTTAAGCTTCCATCCATCATCATCCGAGGTGCACTGACGGCCGTCATGGTGTTGCAAATTTTCTTAATGTGCTTTATATTAAATCGTCATCGAATCTCCATTTATTCAACTTTGGAAATCTTTAGAAAATGTCTGTACCGTTCATCTTTCCATTTGCAAATGTCAATGATTCAAACAAATTACAGTTAGCACGAAAGGTAGAAATCTCTGTAGAAATGTAATAACATCATTAGCAAACAGTATAAGACTCATATTAGTGATTAAGTTATTTAAAAGAGAATGGTGCTGAACTCATCGGAAATATGAATAATATAACATCGGTGTTTTAACTGAAGTTAAAACACCGATGTTATATTATTCATATTTCCGATGAGTTAACAGTGATTAAAGAATTTGAAAACAACCTAAAAAAGCAGCAAAAATTAATAGTTCTAATTGTTTGCAATTCTACAGCAGAAATCGCTGAACTCGGCATTTCTTTCATGAAAATTAAGAAAAAAATTTATAAAAGTCACCAAATTCTACTGCTCTACGTAGCAAAGGAAGTAAAAAAAATGTGTTACTTAATTTACTTAGTTGTATAAGAAAGTTGTTCGCTATAAAGAAAGTAATGCCGCATTACAACTCTAAAAATATACAGGGTGAAGAGAGCATTTTAAATATTTTAGATATTTTGCTTCATGGAGATATTATTTTATTTTTAAAAAAACGTTGCTTGCCACATGAGGGAATCGAACTGACAAATGTGAAAAAAATATCCTGTTTTTTGTGATGCTGATCAAAAGGATAAATTCGTTTCAAATTCTTTTAAAATTATACTGGGCACGGGTCTCTCAAGCGAAGGTTTTAAACCATAGTCTGACCCAATGTGGGTTGGGGACTTCACACGTTTTCCGAGGGTAGTGCCTATTTCGACGTTCAGGTTTCATCACGATGTTTTCCTTCACCGAAAATCTCATGGTACATTTCAAATTAAATTACGCACATAAATTCCGAAAAACTCAGAGCCTTGGGTTCTCTGCTCTGCTTCAGAGGCGGTAGGTCAAACCATTAAGCTACCACGGCTCTTTGAGCAACACAGTATTTTTACGTTTAAGAAAATTAATGTGTTTTATAATTCGGCATTATCGTTTCATTTCACGTACATCAGGAACTATATTTCCTTGCACAGTTTGTTGCAAGTGAAGATAAAAATGATAATGATCAGTATTTTAATGCATTTATCTCTGTGAGCTAGACAGGTTACGAATTTGAAAATTATAGATAAATTCATTGCAAACACCGTAGATACAGTGTCAGTTTCAAGTTTCTTTCCTTTACTAAATTGTAGAATTGAATTGTTTCTTTCATTTGAGATACTATGTTATTTACATGGAATTAACTCTTACAATTGACCTTTTTGATCGGCATCGTAAAAATACGTGATCTCTTATTTTCACATTTGGTTGCTTTAATTCCCAGTAGGGCTAGTACGATAACGCGTGATTTGAGCGAAAGCGATATAAAGCGCGAGATACTGCTACTCTCGCATAGAAATCACACGCTCTACGTATGTCGCTCTCGCACAAGTCGCGCGCTATTGTACCAGCTAGGGCTAGTAGCAGATGAGAGTGCAGGTGAGGCAAGGAACTTTGAAGTCTTTGAATGCGGTATAACTTACTTTTAAACATAAACAATGTCTTCGTGAAGAAAAATATCCTATCTACATTATTTAAAGTACTTTCCCTCCGTACCACATAGGCGTGTGACGCCCTGTATACATTACATGATACACGCAGCATAAATAGACAACATTAACACAAATCGCTCATTTGGTTCTACATTGACCTAAATTTTGGCAAAATTGAATTAATTAGTATTATAACTCATCTGTAACATAACCAGTGTTTACGTTTGAAGAAAAAATGGCAGTAATTTAAAATAATATATTGTAAAAATATACAAGTTTCATTGACATGTCATAAATTTGAAATAAAATTAAAAAGTTCTTAGGTTTTCGCGATTGTTACACATAGGAAATGATACTATTTTTCCGGATTTAAATCGCGTATATTTGTTTTTTCAAACAAACCGACGTTTCGGGCCCTTTACAGGTCCCATGGCCACGGTTGACTGAGGTGGTACAGTCTTCAACCAGTTATGTCTAATATTGATGCAAATCACCCTATTTTTTCACTATAGTTACAATAGTTATTAATTAAATGCCTTATTTTTAATTTTCCAAAAAAAAACATTCCAATTTACGCTATATTAAGTTTTACAAATTATTTTATTGAAATATCAATTCAAATCCATCTTCTGTAACATTATAAGAAGAGTACCTACAATACAAAAAAATACAGTACACAAAAAGTGTAGCATCAAAAGATCGAAATGTTCTACTATATGTTACGCTTTAAACATTAAGCGCCCAGTTACTCGACGTGAAAGCTTTCGCACGATTTTCATCCATCGTGGTTAATTTGAAAAATTAACATGTATACCTCACTCACCGTGACTGCAACCGAGCGTGACAGCAGCGCGACTGCAGCGCGGCCGCCGCGCGGTTGCAGCGCTTCTAGAAATTGTATGAAAAGTGACAGTCGTGCGGCCGCCGCGCGGCTGCAGCGCATCTAACAGTGTCTAATTTGAACGCGCCCTTAGATGCATGTGGTCGCTGCGCGGCGGCCATGCGGTCTCAGCATGGCGTGAGCGCGATGAAATTCGTGTCGAATAAATGCGCCCTTGGGATCTATTTATGGTCTTCGCACGTAACTCCAAATCTGTTATTGCATTACTGGTTCAGTTGTTATATTATATTATATATTTAGTATCACTTTGGACCGTTCTATGATATTCACACTAACTTCATACTATCACCTCCAATCTTTTCGAAAAAAAGCCGGGGTAAGGGCGGCAGCAGTCTTGATCCGATAGTGAATTTAGGAATACCTACTATTGAATTTAATGTCAAGAAAAGCGAAGTGAAATCGGAGTTGGATTTTATTTAGCGGTCACATACAGACAATTCCGAAAATCTTTGAAAACAACTTTTGATAGGGACTAACAGAGGCATTCTGTAAATGAAAACATAGAAGAGGCTCGCAATTCCGTACATTAAAGTTGCAACTCTGCTAAGGTGTTCGCATTAGTTGGCAGATCAGTACGATGCGATCTTAAGTTAGGTTTGCGGCGGGGACAATCACGTGTGAAGGGGCACGCCTCACGTTGGGTTTCGTGCTCGAGATCACATCTTCGACGGCACGCGACATTGCACACGTGCCGTCTACTTAAATTGTAGTTCTATTGTTCGGACACTTGTTTCTCTGCATACCAGCGAACTTGAAACATGGACCTATAACGTGATATATGCGCTTAAGGAACAAAGATCTAGGAACAAGTCTACATGGATGATTTATATCTGACAGACATGATAGAGATGTTAAAGTTCCAAGACAATTGTGTAAAACTAAATAAAATTGACTATATATTTTTATTTCAAAGAAGCAAAGCAAGCGTACAATGCAAACAAATTACAGCACTGTCAAGAATAAAACACAAATTGTAGTAAATCGTGTTGTACCATGAAATAGAAATAATATTATCGATGTAAATGTTATTTTCATTCGAGAAGCCTCGTACGCAATAAGCGACCACCGTTTTCATAGGTCTATAAAACAAATGCCGAATGCAACATTGATGTAGAGATAAAGTCGTTTACAATAATATGAAATATTCATACAATAGAAATATGACAGCGACCACCGGCGAGCGCCGCGCGTACGCACCAAAGCGACAAAAAAACATTATCTGTTGAATAATCAGCATTTAACGTGGAGACTAGAAATAGACTCGACAGAATCAACTCCATAAACGGACGTCCTTGAGAATGTTTCAAAGCTACTCGTAAGTTTCAGGCAAGATCACAAAGCTCGATCAGTATCGCTTCCTTTCATAATATCTGTTCTGATACTACTTATTAAACGGATAGCTGAAGATTTTATCTAATGCTCGGCATCGCGACACAAATGAAATATTGCTGGGTCGGCTTGGTTCTCATGAAATATGTAATCTGATTAAGTATAACAATAAATGAGTCACGGTGGAAACTTAAAAAGCGCAACGACCACTAAATGAACAATAAATAGGAAGAAAAAAGACAAGAACGTTAGCATACCAAATTCAGGGTTCCATATATGGTGGTGAAAGAGTAATTCGCAATGAACTTGAAATGGTAAGTAAGGCTAATGAATCCGTAGAAAAACTGGATAAGGCAAGATTTTTCTTGTATACAGTAACTCGCCCTATGTATTAAGTTGAATACTCTCGATTGTCTGAACGATTTTATAAAAGCCGTATGTTTCGATCTTTGATCAATGGTTGTTTCTTTGCAGAACCCAAATAAGGTATCCAATGGCCGTCAGGCGTGCTTAATTTTTATTGATATGGGTAACTAAGAACTATTAGTAGGTCTGACTTT